TATATATATATATATATACACACACACACATACATATATATATAATTTCATTTATTTAATGTATATGTTACATGATGTGTAAATTAGGTGAAACTTCTTTTTTTTTTTTTTGTAAAAATTTACTGTATTTACATTCAAACCTGACTGGCAACTGTTTTTTCCGTGTGAAACGTAGATAATGGAGAGAAATAGCAGTTGAGTTCTAGAGGTGCCAGCGGCTCATGATTCGCTGAATGTCGTCATCACAGGAAAACGGCGGCGCTAAAGTAACGGCCAAAACATGCTCAAATGAGCTGAGAGACGCTGAACTCTACAGAGCGAGAGCAACAGAAACACAGATGAGACGCAAACGAGACAGAAGACTTGAAAGTGACCTCCTGAAGCGCTCCGTAACTGCAGAGGACGCTCAGGACCGCCACGTCTCTCATGTTCCAGATCCTTCTGCCTCGAGTCCCACGAGTGATTGTCACCAAGGGTTTGTGTGAAAGAAGTGTGTCAGACAGAAGATCTGGGCATCAAAAGTCCTAATGATGTCCGTGTCCCAAAGGAACCCTTTCTATCGCGGGTTTACGGCCTTCTCTTTGCGGCCCTCGCAGTTTAACAAGGCTGAGAAATTCCACTCTCATTACAGGCTGGAGGAAGGTGGGGGGCATCGTAAAAAATCTCCTCTGAATTATTCATTTGCTTGATTTTCTGACTTTAAGACCGACTTTTAGGGACGAGAGCTGCTGTGCATGCTAGACTTCTCTTTGCTTTTCCCTTCACCCCATCCCAAAACACCCCGCTGGTACAGAAATGTGTTTACAAACTGGACTGACAAATGCATTCTGTTAAATAAATAAATATATTATATACTCCATCTCATTTCATCATCATATTTTATATAATAAATATATAAAATAAATTCATACTTTATTCACTTTTAAAAAGCAGTATTTATAATACAATATTTAATAAATACACATAAATATAATAATATAATAGTATGTAATATGAAATGAACAGTTCTATATAAAATATTATTATTTGAAACTTATTATATATTAAGTACATGTGTAAATAATGTGTTAAAAAACAAGTGTTTTATTAACATAAGTAATATACTAAAATATCACTAATATATGTACTTGATTAATACATTTTTTATATATTATATGCAGCATCTCATCACCACTATATCACGTTAATAATATATACATAAACTAAAAGTATTCTTTATTATATATTAATAAAAAAAAAAATTTTTTTTTTTTTTTAAATGTTAATATTTATGATAAATAAAATATTTGAAAATTTTATTTTTATATATATGTATATATATACAAGCATTTTTTAATAATCAATAAAAACATAAAATAGCATAATTACAATCTAAACACTCTCGGCGGTACTAACCTGAGGTCTCGTCCACGCGCTCCTCCACTGTGTGCTCCTTCTGATGGACCCACTCGCTGTTGCACTTGAAGTAGATCTGCGTGGCCGGCGTGGCTTTGCAGTACAGGTTAACGGGCTTGTTCTTGACGATGTACGCCTCCTCCGGCTCCATCAGGAAGTGCGGGAGCGGCTCGGGCGGATCCGAGGGGAACGTCTCCGGGAGTTCACCCAATCCCAGATAGTCGTCATCTACAGAGGGAGGAGAAGATGAGAAGAAGTGAGTCTCAAGCACATCAGAGGGTGGTTTATTGAGATCGTGTGTTTGCCCGCAAGGTTGTGAACTACTGTTTGCGACAGCTAAAGAGAAACAGACCCAGATGCGCATCATGGAGAGACCGTAATCAAATGCAGGTTGTGCATGTAAGGAAAGAAATATATTCCAACAGGCATGAAAACAAAGGCACTTCGTTTTTTGTATTTCACTTCTGCTCTTGCTTGTGAACTAGTCCAGCTTATACTTTAAACTTGTTAGTGTGCACTACAAATATCATTGAAAAATTAATAGAACCTCATTTGTAAGTTGCTTTGGATAGAAATATCTACTGAATGAATAATAGATAGATAGATAGATAGATAGATAGATAGATAGACAGATAGTAAATTCTTTGTCCTCTCATTCGCATTCAATTTTAACGTGTTGTAGGCAATTCATTTAAATTCAAACTTTGTATCTTGTACTTATGAATCGTGCTGTATGTATTTGATCTTGTATGGCTAGAAGCGTTTGCGTTCACATACAGTATGTTTGGTTCCTGAGACTAAATATGTGAGATTTCATTTCCCACAAACCTGCGGCTGTCTTCTTCAACCGGGGGAATCTGGTTTATTTAATTCCACAGATATTTGTCTGGAGACGGGTAACCGTCCCCTGTAATTACGCTTCGCTTTCATCAGAGCCCTGCCTCACCGGTGTCTTCCTCATCAAACACAAACCTATATTTATCTGATGCTGGCAGAGCGACGGGGCTCACGGAGAAAAGCAAACAGGAAGAGGCAATCGACATTCCCTTCGAGGACTATGAAACGGTACTGGAGACGGATTTGGCTCGATACGTCCTGTGTTTGCCGGTCGCGTTTAAATATCTGCCCTCTGACTCTACGTCTCTCCACGAGAGGGAAGCGCAGAGGCGTTCGACACCTGCAAATACGCTTTCTATTCTTAACAACCGGCCGCCAGACATCAATTATTTACACAGGAGCGAGAATGAATCTGGAGCGAGAGACAGAAAGGACAGCAGATTTTCGGTCACAACTCTGTGTCCTCGGCCGAACCGCGTCCAGACCTTGTCAGAACGTAGCATTGACATCACATCAATATCAGCCATGATGTAACGGGCCTGTGTCTGAGTGCTGGGGGAACGAGGAGATGGAGGTGAACGGGTGAGACTGCATTAGCACATAGAGCCCCAGGGGATTCTGGGTAGAGTGCGACTGCTTTCCATCACATGTAGGTCCTAAATCACACCTGCCTCTAATCACCTGCTAATTGAAGGGGAGCTGTAACCTCGGCTTGACCTTCTGCATGGGACACATCTGTGCGTACACATGACCTACTGAATGGAACAACGGGAAGTTGAAGCCTTTTTCAAAAACTGTAACTACATTTAAACATTTATAAATTGTAATGTGCACAAGTGGCTATAAGGTTGCAAGTAGGGCTGTAGACTGCATTAGCACATAGAGCCCCAGGGGATTCTGGGTAGAGTGCGGCTGCTTTCCATCACATGTAGGTCCTAAATCACACCTGCCTCTAATCACCTGCTAATTGAAGGGGAGCTGTAACCTCGGCTTGACCTTCTGCATGGGACACATCTGTGCGTACACATGACCTACTGAACGGAACAACGGGAAGTTGAAGCCTTTTTCAAAAACTGTAACTACATTTAAACATTTATAAATTGTAATGTGCACAAGCGGCTATAAGGTTGCAAGTAGGGCTGTCAAGATTCCCCGGTTCAATTCGAGTACTCAATTTTAAAAAAAATCCATAATTTTTTTGTTGAGTAATCGGCAAAATACCGGAAGTGGCGAGAATCCATGAAATGGCATTATGAGACCGTTTTCCAAGGAATGCGTGATATATTAAACCCATTTAAAAATCATAATAAAGCATAATGCTATTGTGAATTCACAAACGCTACGATTCAGTTAAATAAATATATGCGCTGCGGGTTTAAAATGCGCTTTATTACGGCTCTGTTCACAGTAAATGCTGCTCCACACAAACTGTTACCATTCACATGCGTGGAGCATCTCAAACTCCATCTCTGCATATTGTTGTGAGTTTGGGTTTATTATAATGTTAATCTGGGAACAATGTGCATCAGATTTAGAAGGTAAATCATTTATAAACCTACGCAAACACTGGAGAATACATCAATAACTTTCTCAATATGCTAACTGTTCATCGCGACTTCAAAATAAAAGCTCAGACCCTCGCTCTGAGTTACATGTTTTCATGTCCACATATTCAAGAAATTACAGTGGCTGCAGCATTTCTGTCATAAAGAAATGGCCAGATATTAAAGATCAAGTAGACATTTGAATTAAATGTTGTTTAGTCAATTGTAAACCAGGATTAGATCGTGCTGTACAGTGTAAAAACAGTAGTCAGGCTGTTGGCGCCTCTGCAGGCTTTTGATAGCCTATAATGCATAATGTACATTAGTTCTATTGTTTATAATACATTAATTTTTACCAGTTTTGTTCAATAAAACCATATGATTACTTGCTTTTGATACTTTATTTGAATAATTATTATTGCCTCATTTCTCAAAGTCATTTTAAAGGCTATTGTTCACTTAGGTCTATTTTTATTACCACAAAAAAATTAATTATAATTATCAGATTACAAAAATCAAGCACTTGTAATTAGAGTATATTACATTTTATAATGCTTATAATCAGATTACAGTTACTTTTTTATGGATTACATTATTTTACGGGTTTACATTAAAAAAAAACATGGTTTAATGTAATGTTTAAAACATTTTATGACGTTGAAATCAAAAATGGAATATATTTTTTTTCGCTTTGCTTTTTTATATCAGAATTGTACATTTAATGGTAAGTTTAAAACAAGTTAGATTCAAAAAAAAGTAATTTAAAAGTAGTCAGATTACATTACCTAAAATGAGTAACCTAGATTACGCTACTAACTACAGTTTTCATCATGTAATCTTTAATCAGTAACTTCAATTTGTAAGTCATCCAGCAAGCTTTCTGGGTGTGCTCTGGATGGTTTCTAGGTGTTTTCTTCCCGTCTGGAATGAAAAGAGTCCTACATCCTCAAGTATCTGTGATCTTCTGATTCTTCAGTGTGCGTTTGTGGGATTTTTCCACCTATTTTATCATCCAGCAGAGGAAAACCATAAATCAGATTCACGTTTACTCAAACCCTTAAGCCTGAGCAGCAGTAATACTAACATTCGCCTCAGTGAGACCCACTAATTATTTATTGAACATTAGTGTATTTTGTGATATTGCTGCTGCTTTGTATTACTGTGATTTTACCAGTGATTTACCTCTCCACTTTGAGCCAGGGCCTAACTACCCTCTTAACCATGGTAAAAATCACTGTAACAGACAGCCTCTCGGGGCTTATTGCTTTCAGTCTATGAATGCATATTGGCTCTCTTTAACAAAAATGAAAACACATGGTGCTGTACTTAAAAAAAAAAAGCTGGCACAGGACATTAACATTCGGTCTCTATAGGGCACACCACGAAAACACAGGAAAAGCATTCAGAGAGCTTCCCATCGGACGGTATCTAAGCAAACCAGGGCAGGTTTATCAGTTCGACAATTAGCTGTGGACCAGAACTATGACCCGGTGCGACTGCCAGCCCTGCAGAGCATGATAACTATCTCAGTCACACACACATGCATCCAAACACACACACTTGAACATTTCTCGAAGTGAGACCCACTAATTATTTATTGAACATTAGTGTATTTTGTGATATTGCTGCTGCTGTGTATTACTGTGATTTTACCAGTGATTTACCTCTCCACTTTGAGCCTGGGCCTAACTACCCTCTTAACCATGGTAAAAATCACTGTAACAGACAGCCTCTCGGGGCTTATTGCTTTCAGTCTATGAATGCATATTGGCTCTCTTTAACAAAAATGAAAACACATGGTGCTGTACTTAAAAAAAAAAAGCTGGCACAGGACATTAACATTCGGTCTCTATAGGGCACACCACAAAAACACAGGAAAAGCATTCAGAGAGCTTCCCATCGGACGGTATCTAAGCAAACCAGGGCAGGTTTATCAGTTTGACAATTAGCTGTGGACCAGAACTATGACCCGGTGCGACTGCCAGCCCTGCAGAGCATGATCACTATCTCAGTCACACACACATGCATCCAAACACACACACTTGAACATTTCTCGAACGCTGTCCTCATGCCAAACCACTGATGGTCATGTAAGCCTCTCAAATGCTCGCAGACACCAAGACGTCCCCGACTCCTGCCAGCGATCCAGACCTTGAACCAAAAACTGCCTCCTAGAATGGAGGAAACTGTGTCTCGCAGCAGACCTGAGAGATCAGACGGTGGCATGAAAGGCTTCGGCATGCCGTCCCCGCATGCGATCTCCAATTCATCAACCTCCACAGCAGCAGAAATAATAAATAAAAGAGGCTCTCTGGTGAAAAAGCTCTCGAGAAAATGGAAAAACATGACAAAAAAATGCCCTCACGCCAACAACCCACTGATTCACGATCTCTAGTGGACAAAAGAGACAGAAAACCGTTCACATTCAATCCAGCATCAAACCCACGACATAATGCAGCACATGCTGCGCCCATCAGCCCTGTCTGTCTATAAGGCAAAACCATTTATTTTTTCATGCACTGGTTAATTTTGAGATTTCAGTCTATTTAGCTTCCATAGCATGTCTTTTTAATGAACTGGGGAAAGCATGGTAATGCCTATCTTTACCCTATTCATCTATTGTGCCTTGCCTTAAAGGAATAGTTCACCCAAAAATGAAAATTTGCTGAAAATGTTTGTTTGTTCATGGGAACTGATTTGGAGAAACGTGTCATTGCATCAGTGTCTCAGCAATGGAAAATCTGCAGTGAATGGGTGCCGTCAGAATGAGAGCTGATAAAAACATCACAATAATCCACAAGTAATCCACAGCACTCCAGTCCATCAGTTAACATCTGGAGAAGACAA